AGGCTTGACCAGGCTGAGTGGACCTGCGCGTACATCTGCAGTTGGGTGATACCAGCTGGGCTTGCCCGGGGCAGCTTGGTCCTGCTCTCATCCCCCTCCTGGCACCAACGGGCACGCTCATCACATGGCAATGAGGTCAAGGCACAAAAGAACAAGCCTAAGCAGGCAAGAATTTCACAAGCCGTTAGTTATGTTATATCCACCAGTATCCCACGGGGTAAGTCACGGAGATGAGCCCAAGGTGGAGGGGTGGGAGCTGTATTCCATCTTTCTGGAGGCAGAATTGCCAAATCACAGGGCACAAAGCGAGGATTCAAGGAAGGGTGAAGAGCTGGGCCGTTCAGGCTGTTCCCTGTATACAGTGAAGACTAGGAGGAGAGGAAGAGCGTAACTGGGCCGTTCAGGCTGTTCCCTGTATACAGTGAAGACTAGGAAAGGAAGGGTGAAGAACTGGGCCGTTCAGGCTGTTCCCTGTATACAGTGAAGACTAGGAGGAGAGGAAGAGCGCTCGTGAGTTCTTTTGCCAAGAATGGGACCCATGTCAGCCTCCAAAGCTTGGATTTGTTGCCCTCTAGACCTCAAAGCCACATCAAGATTTAAGCGTGAGACAGGGATTGTCTCAGATGCAATGTCTATGCAGCCTGCCCACCATGCACAGAATGTTCCAGGGGAAGAACCGAACCCTCAGCCCCAAAACCCATCCAGACTTACTGTGATCTTTCTGCCAGCCCTGCCCTGCGCCCTGCCCACCCCCCCCACCTGCTGCTTACCCCCCGGAGGACTGGCTTCCCTTCTCATGCAGACTGTGTTGATTACACATTCTGAGCCTTGTTTTCCTCCGTGTGGGCAGAAAGAGTTGCACAACTGCTCCAATCCTGCAACAGAGGGGTGGGTGGGAAAAGAGGTATATGTTTGGGGCAGGAGAAATCTACTCCTTCTGTTCCCCATCTCACTGGGATCCTCCCTCCCCTTCGCACTCACGCCCTCCTCTCTGGCTGCCCCTCCTAGCCATCTACCTGCTTTCTCCAATTGCACCGCAAATGGGCAGAAGATTTAATCTCCCCTGAGAGTAACTCTAAAGGAAAGAAGCAGAAATAGCCTGTGCCCTGGGTGACCTGAAGAGCGTCATTTCCCTTTTCTAGATTTAGTTTGTTGTTGGTGTTTATTCACTAAGTCGTGTCTGACTCTCTGTGACCCCATGGACAATAGCCCACCAGGCTCCTCTGTCCGTGAGATTTCCCAGGCAAGAATACTGGAGTGCTTCGCCATTTCCTTCTCCAGGGGATCTTCCCAGCCCAGGGATCAAACCTGCATCTCCTACATTGGCAGGAGGGTTCTTTACCACTGAACCACCAGGGAACCCCCAGGATCTTAGTTTTCACATCTATAAAACAGTAACATTGGTTTAGCAGACATTTGATGTTTAACAGACACTCATACAATGCTTACTAAGTGTCCTGCTATCTTAAGTGCTTTGCAAATATTTGCTCATTTAATTATCATAATGATACTTCAAGTCATCTCTATTTTACAGCAGGAAACTGAGGGGCAACAGGCCAGGGGATGACTGAGTCAGGGCTTCAACCCAGGCAATCCAACCCGAGTCCACATTTAACCACCATATTACTCAGCCAGGTGGTGCAGTGGTAAATAATCCACCTGTCAACCCAAGAGACAAGGGTTCAATCCCTGGGTTGGCAAGCGCTGGGAAACCAATACAATGGGTAAAGTCTTGAAGGTTTCAAGCAGAGGCAGCTCCAGAGAGCAACTCCAAGCTGGCCACCTTCTCTATCCTCCTAGGGCACATCCAAGATCCTCCATCTCCCACCACCTCTCATGGAGTCACTCAACCTTGCTGACCTTGATTCCCAGAGAACTTTAATCCCCAAATGCAGACTCTAGGCTGGGGAAGGCTGAGTGAAAAGAATAGCTAGAGAATATGGAACCTGAATGGTAGGGGGACAGAGGCTTTGAAGTTTGTGGGGGCTGAGAATTGGACTTTAGGAACCTCAGGAGTGGGGAGGCTTGGAATTTTTTTTCCAGTAGTCATGTCTGGACCTGAGAGTTGGACTATAAAGAAAGTTGAGCCTCAAAGAATTGGTGCTTTTGAACTGTGGTGTTAGAGAAGACTCTTGAGAGTCCCTTGGACTGCAAGGAAATCCAACAAGTCCATCCTAAAGGAAATTAGTCCTGAATATTCATTGGAAGGACTGATGCTGAAGCTGAAACTCCAATCCTTTGGCCACCTGATGTGAAGAACTGACTCATTGGAAAAGACCCTGATGTTGGGAAAGATTGAAGGCAGGAGGAGAAGGGGACGACAGAGGATGATATGTTTGGATGGCTTCACCAACTCGATTGACCTGAGTTTGAGTAAGCTCCGGGAGTTGGTGATGGACAGGGAAGCCTGACGTGCTGCAGTCCATGGTGTCACAAAGAGTTGGAAATGACTGAGCAACTGAACTGAACTGATGCTCTGTAAGCCCCAGTCCCCTAACCTCCAGGAAACTGGAACTCTGAACTGAAAAGTGGCTCAAAGCCACTGCAGGTACCAGTGATGTCACTTCTCACCTCAATCTCTCAGCCTGTCTAGCACAAGGCTGATCTTGCCTACTGCACCAGCGATGGTGGGATGAAATAGATGGTGTGTGTGGAAAGGCTTTAGGGGACGGTCGAGTGGAACAAAAGCTGGTTGGAAACACTTGTGTCTTTTCCTTCCTGACCAAGTTGCTGGAATCTGAGTCGCTCATCATTCCGTTCTTTAAGCCCTGAACCCAATGCCTAGCTCATCATGGGTTTCAAATTTCAGTTTCAAACTGAAGTGAATCATGGTGAGTCCCCATTTTGACAAAGGCAGCATTCCATTCCCAAAACCATCATTTTCTACTCAGGACCGATCTTACACCCCAGCAGGCATTCAGAGGTGACCCAGGCCAAACAATCAACTTGGAGAAGTTTGTTTGCCTATAAGCTAGCTTCCTGTCCTCTCTGCCCTTTCTCCATGCCCTCTGCCCAGCAACATTTACCCCCCAACACACCACACACACAAAATCCCTCCCTCCAAACTCTTCTCCAGAATTCTCTTGCTGGGGCTGTGCTCTCAGCCGGCTGACACCTACACTGATGTCTACTGGGGTTTCAGGCAGACATTTAATGAACATCTGGTGGGACTCGGAGCACTCAAGACATGACTTCTTAGTGGTGGCATCACTGACTGTCAGGCTCCTGGCTGAGATCACGTGCCATCCGTTACCCTGGCAGGGAGCTCCTGCATCCACACCGTGTCTCTGCTCCCTTCAGACCTTTGTGTCCCACTGCATCCACCCACTGGCCCCGTCCCATCCTCAGACGTCTCCTCCTTAGGCAGAGAGTTCAGAAAGGGGATAGGTCATCTGCCTTGGGTGTGCAGATAAGGAGACAGGGTGGAAAGATGGAATCAGACAGACCTGGCCTCGAATTTCATCTCTTCTACGTGTTCTGTAGCCTTGGGCAAATTGCTTCACCTCTCTGAGCTCATTTTTAAAAATCTTTGTTTTATATTAGACTGTTGATATACACTGTTGTGTTAGTTTCAGATGTACAGAAAAGTGATTGCTATACACATGCATAGTTCTATTCTTCTTAAAAATTCTTTTCCCATGTAGATTATTACAGGATATTGAGCAGAGTTCTGTGGCTATTCAGTAGGTCCTTGTTGGTTATCTATTTTAAATACAGTAATATGTATCTGTCAATCATTCTGAAATGAATATCACCGCATCTTTCTCCCAGGGTTTCGTGTAAAACAACAGCATTCACCTCTTCCAGGCCTTGCTTGCCAGGGCCTGGCACACAGTGAGAGCTATAAAAGGCCGATGGGGTGTGATGGGGAGTTCCCAGGCATTGGAATCTGACAGGCAGAAATTTGAATCCCTACTGTCACCTCCGAGCTGTGTGGCCTTGGGTTAAATCACTCCAGACCTCTCTGATCTGCTGTTTCTCTATAAAACTGGGATGAAGCCCCTGTTCTTGAGTGTGAGAACAGAAGGAGAAATGGGCAACAGAAGACGAGATGGCTAGACAGCATCATCAACTCAGTGGTCATGAGTTTGAGCAAGCTCCAGGAGACAGTGAAGGACAGAGAAGCCTGGCGTGCTGCAGTCCATGCGGTCACAAAGAGTCAGACACAACTTAGTGACTGAACAATAACAACATAGGTTTTTGATTGTTCAGCTTCATCCTGTACTTAACTGCAGACTCCAAAGCCAGGTTTCACAGTCCCAGCTAGCAGACCTCTTGGCTTCCAGATCTGCTTGTCCTTGATCATAAGCCTCTGACTCACTGGGCCGTCCAACTTTGTACTCAGAGCCCAGGTCTCCAGTGTGATGCCTCCTAGAATTCACCTAAAAGCCTAGATATTTTCTTTGTGGCTTTGGCATGACCGGGGCAGGCGGTAACATCTCAGGGCTCTAAGGCTGCACAGGCACGGCCAAAGGTCTCGGCAATAACGGGCCTGTGATCAGCGAGATAACCGGAGCAATCTGCCTGATTCATCGTGGCCCCAGCAGGGCAGGGGCTGAGGGGGAAACGGACGGTCAGGGTCTATTACTCGGTCCTAAAATGCTGGGGGACACTTGCTGGGGGTCAAGGAGATGTAGACAAGGCCAGCCTGGCTCTGATCTTGGGCAGAGGGCCCCCCCACCCAGGGCCCAGAGAGGCCCTGTCCAGTGCTGGCCCAAGGCAGCCCTGTTCCCCAGGGAGGGGCTGCCCGCAGGCCTGTGACTGCTGGCCTGGCCCTTTCCATCAGTCCCAGCAGGAATTAGCAGAGGCTGCTAAGTGGCCTCGGCCTTCTCCTGTGCTCCGGAGGAGGGGGGAGGGAAAGGGCGAGGGGGGAGCCGCACCAGCGGTGTGCGCATGGGGTGATTGTCATGGTTACGCTCTGACAAAACAAATGGCTCTGCTTCCTGCAGGCCACCTAAGCAGCCACTGCAATGTGGGCATCGATCAAGCCGGCTGCCGGGGCCACGGGCGCTGGGCTTGGAACCGGAGCCCTGCCCTGGGTGCCCCCTCCAGCAGCTCTGGGCTGGGGCTGTGGACAGCAGGGAGCGTTTATCCAGACACCTGTTGCTTCGGGAGTGAGGTAAGGGCTGGCCCAGTTTGTGTGGGGATGAGGACGGGGCTGCTGGGCTGTCCCCAGGGTGTGTGTGTGTGTGAGAGCGTGTGCACACATCAGCGTGTGTGCACTGCGCGCCCGCACTAGTGGGATGGGGGACCCGCCGGACCCAGGGCTCAGGATGCTCCAGCGACAGAAGTGAGAGATCACAGGACCACATGTTGCTGCCGGTTCCCTCCCCTTCCCTCCCCCTCTCTCCCCCGCCCCCCGCCCCTTTCTGGAGCGCTCCGGCTGTGTGAGTGGCTAGTTCTCTTTTTCTTCCCGGGGATGAATCTCAGCATCTCCCGCCCGCTAAGTGTTTCTGCGCCCTCCCCTCCCCCCACCCGCCCTGACACCTGTTCCACCGTCTCCCCGCGCCCTCTCCCAGTCTCCAGCGCCCCGGGGCCAGCGGGAGCTCTGCGGGCTGTCCTCCCCGGGCTGCGGGGCTCGTGCCGCTGCCCTCCGGGCACTGGGCGTGTGACTGTCCCCAAAGCCAGCCGCTAGCTGATCCTCGAGCCCTTCTCAGAGCCCCGAACCCCCAGGCTCCTGCCAGGTAAGTGGGGCTCTGGGAGGGAGCAGGGGTCCGCGGCAGGCTGCGGGAGGGGAGGGGAGCCTGGCACCCTCGCGCAGCAGTGGCGTCTGCCAACACGTCAAGCCGGGGCTGGAAGTCCCGTCATAACATCTCCCGCGGCGTCGCCCACAGCCCGAGCCCGAGGCTCCCTCCGCCCCGCCCGCCCCGCGGCGCAGACCCAGGCTCGGTGGGCGCCGGCGTTGGCGCGGGGAAGGGGGGATGCTAGACCCTCCCCCTCCCCCACCTCGCCTCCGAGAGCCGAGAGCCGCAGGCACCTTCCTGCTCCCTTTCCTTCCTGTCTTTTCCTTTTTTTTTTTTTTTTTGAAGATTTAAGAGCGGGCTGAGCGCCCTTCCTCTCCTCCTCCCTGGATTCCCCAGCCCCGGGATCTGGGCAGAGACTCAGGGGCGCTGGATGAATCCTGACGTCCTGCCCGAAGCTGGAGGGCAGAGGGCACCTGAAACTCCCTGCTTAGCTGGAACTGGGGGAGGGGGCCCGACTGGAGGGCAGTTGCCCTAGAGACCTGTGGGGGTGCTGTGCGTCCCTAGAAGGTGTGAAGGGAGGGAGCCTCAGGGTGGTAAGGGGGTGGGGGGGCATGGAGCGTGGGTAAACGTGCTGACGTGTTCGGGGGGCACGTGTGGGGGATCCCTGTGTCTGCTGGCGTGCAGGGACAGTGTGGGGTGTATCTGTGTGTGTGCCCGCACATGCACATGTGTAGGCAGCTGTGGGCTGAACTTGACCCAGAGGTTGTCTTCCAGGATTCCCACGACCTGACACGTTGGCTGCAGGCAGTACTTGTCACCCAGCCTGGGTCAGCATCCCTCCCCCGGGACAGAGCTTCCGCTGATTCCAACCAGACCGTCCCCACCGCCCCCCACAGGTGCTGAGCCAGGGCAGTGGAGAGATGGACACTGTGCCCTGATGGCTGCCCGCGTACCCCACGGCTCCTCTGAGACGGGCCAAGGGTCCTGGGCTTAGGGGGTCGGGGATGCTCGCTCCCCAGCCTTAGGTAACTCCGGGTCTGTAGGAAACCAGCCCCAAACCCCAGCCAGATGACCGCCTAAGGGACTCCGGCCACTGGCCATGGGCTGCTGCCTGGTGGACGGGTGCTGCTGGTCCCATCCCGGAGGCAAGAGCAGCGTTTCCCTCGCTCAGCGGGGCTCACTTGCTCCTGGCCTCCCCTCACCTGATAGAAGGTGCTGATGCTGTTCTGGGGGAAAGGACTCCTCCCAGGGAATAGGGACAGCGGAAGAGGCACCGGGGGGAGGCACCCTGCCCCGCCAGGATCCTGGCCTCGGGTTCCTGCTCAGGTTCAAACTGTCCTCTCTCCCGGCTGAGCAGGTCTCTCTTAGCATCCCCTGGCCAAACCCCTCCAACCACATGACCCGAGTCACCCGTGGCCAAGCTGACTTAGGTTGCCTGTGGTTTCATGGCCGATCCCAGTTCAGCCACACTGGGAGGGTGGCTTGGGCCAGGCCAAGCAGAGGGTCACTGTAAACGAGACGTCAACAGACTTCCCTCAGGGCATGGGGAACAGTCCAGTGGGATCAGTGGACAAAATATGGCCCCAAGTTACCAGGGATGCGCCAATCTTTTCATCCCGTTAAACTCCTTGAGGGCTTCCCTGAGAGCTCAGCTGGTAGAGTCCGCCTGCAAGGCCAGAGACCCCCAGTCGATTCCTGGGTGGGGAAGACCCCCTGGAGAAGGGACAGGCTGCCCACGCCAGTGGTCCTGGGCTTCCCTGGTGGCTCAGCTGGTAAAGAATCCGCCTACAAAGCAGGAGACCCGGGTTTGATCCCTGGGTTGGGAAGATTCCCTGGAGAAGGGAAAGGCTACCCACTCCTGTATTCTGGCCTGGAGAAGTCCATGGACAGTCCATAGGTTCGCGAAGAGTCAGACATGACTAAACGACTTTCACTTTCACTTTCAAATTCCTTGAAGAGCATGTGTCCATGGGGCACCGCCTGATGAAAATCCAGCTGGAAACTTTCCCTAACCTGTGTTCTCTGGGGTTACTTAGCCAGCAGAATGGCTGGCCCATGAAACTCTCTGAGAGAGTGGGCTGGGGCTCGGGGTGTTCTGTGTGGAGCTGAGAGGGCTTCCTGGAGGAGGTGACATTCGGGTGGGGACCTGAAGGAATTGGTGGAGGGATGAGGATACATGGGTGAATGAGGAGGGTCCGGGGAGCATTCACATGTGGCCAGAGGTGTGAGGACAGGCAGAGCTGGGAGGAGCAGGAGTCTTGGTCGGCTTGTATCAGGTACATCAGTCGGCGTGAATAGAACCACCTAGGGTGGAAAGAGGGAAAGGAATGAATATCCTTAATCACTGGGGGCCTGCTTTGCACCAGGCTCTGTGCTGGGCATTGCAGTCTCAAGTGTGGAAAGTGAGATGCATCAGTTACCCAGGATGAGGCAAAACAGTGCCCATGACATGAACTCTTCAACCTGAGGTCTCTTCGAGCTAGCCACAAGGAGACTCCAAGGAGTCTTGTGAGAACCTGAAGCCCAGAGCTGAAGGCCGAGTGGAGACAGGCAGGTGGAAGCCATCTGCTCACAGGCTGGAGCAGGGCAGGCGTCAGCCACTTTGGGAGAGGAGAGAGGAGAAGGCCAGAGACTGGACCCTGAGGAGTTTTTGCCTCCGCTGACCAGTGCCTTGCCTCACTTTAGTCCTGGTCCGGAGGGATGAGCCTCCCCAGGAAACACAGAAGCTACAGCTGGAGGGAGGGGACCAGTACTGGGGGTCCTCCCCGCTCGGTGATGACTCCTTACCAGGTATCTTCCCCGTGGGGTTTTATTTCATCCTCATTTTGCAGATGACGGAACTGAGTCTTGGAGAGCTCGAAGGGCTTGGTTGGAGGTCACACAGCAAATGGCAGAGCCATTTCAGCAGAAGTGAAGTGAGGAGGTGGGCAGATCCCACAGACAATTCCTGAGGAGCTGCTGGGTGTCTTGAGAGGAGGTGACCGGCGAAGGCACTAGTGCTTCCTTCAGAAGAGATCTTAGGACCACTGCCGACGACGATGATCACAGAAGGATGTGGCTGAGCCAGCCTGCGTCCCGGGGGCTCAGAGCGGGGAGCAATCACCCGCAGATAAAGGATGGGGAGAGGCTTCAGGGAGGAGATGGGACTTGAAAGGGCCAGGAGGATCAGTAGCTTTAGAAACATGTAGATGGCACACGCGTGCTCTGGGTTGAGGGAGGAACTTGGTAAGGACATGGGGTTGGGGCAGAGCTGCAAATATTCTATCTTTTCAGGGACTGAGGGCAAGAGTGGAGGCATGACACCAGACCGGGCTTCAGAGGCAGCTTGGGGGTGACCATCAAGGGGGCTGGGTCCGACATGCAGTTCAGACTGTTGACAGTCGGGGAGCAGGGAGCACGGCGATCAGGTCTGGACCTCGGGGAGTGCGTGCAGGCTCGGTCGCTCAGTCGCGTCCGACTCTTTGCTGTGAGGCGTTGGACTTTCACAGCTTGGCTCCTCACCGGGATCTGGGTGGGGAGGGGAGGGGGATTCCAGTCCCCAGTTTGAAAGCCCTTTGCTGGATTCTTCTCCCTCCTCCTCTAACTGCACTAGGGGTCAAACTGCTGGATGCAGGACATCGGCCCAGTGGTTCGTTCCATGGGTGCCCCTCTGAGACAGTGAGACGCAGGGTCAGGATGGCAGCTGCAGGGGATTCTCCAGCACAGACACAAAAGGAGCCTGGAGGAGAGATTGGTCTTCCTGATCTATGTGTGCAGACCCTTTGCAGGGATCTGGGTAATCACCATCTGAGACCCCACAAGTGTGAGGCTGTAAGTTACCCAAAAATTCTTAACAGAACAGAAGAACCACTTAAAATGTAGTCCCTGCGTGACATTTCTCCTCGCCAGCATCAGTCTCTACCCGTCGCGTAACACCTGTGTCCATCCGGTCCTCTTTGGTTGTTGGGTGGGGTCAGCAGTTGACCATACGATGCCACAGACTGCATGGTAAAACTGCCGTCCTGCGAAAGTTGTGGGTTTTAATGACTCCAATCAAAGGGGAAGATGGAGGACTCTTTTAATCCCGCCCAAAGTCGTAGACAAATGAGAATTTGGCAGAGGTAGGCCAATTACTAACACAAGGAGAGAAAATTGGCCACACTGAGTTTATGGTGATGTGAAGTCGCTCAGTCGTGTCCAACTCTTTGCGACCCCATGGATTGTAGCCTACAAGGCTTCTCTGTCCATGGGATTTTCCAGGCAAGAGTACTGGAGTAGGTTGCCATTTCCTTCTCCAGGGGATCTTCCTGACCCAGGGATCAAACACGAGTCTCCCGCATTGCGGGCAGATGCTTTACCTTCTGAGCCACCAGGGAAGCCTGGTGTTTATGGTAGGAAACTTCAATCACTCTGCTGAGACGGTGAAATATGAAATAAAAAAGTCACATCATTCTAGCATATAAGGTTCAAAACTGTTACCGCCCCAACCATGCCTGTTTTATTCTTTGTACATTTTTTTTTTTTTTGGCCACATGGTATGTGAAATCTTAGTTCCCTGACCAGGGATCAAACTTGTGTCCCTGCAGTGTAAGGGCAGAGTCTTAAGAACCGGACCACCAGGGAATTCCCATAATCCTTGAAAATTTTAGCATGTGGTTGCACTTGCAATCTTATTTTAATAATGTAAGATTTTATTTTTATATTTTTAGTTTCATTTCTTAAAATGAAATCCATGTTGAAAACTTTTCTCCTCTCACCATTTCCTACAACATTTTCTACCCTGTCTTAAGTGGATTCACTTGGCCTTTTTCTGGTCAAATTATTGGGGAAATTTAGAGATCTAATGTGACCGGTATTTAATATTTGTAAAGTTTGTGAATGAATGAGTGAATGACTATCCCTGCAAGGGCCATGCATGTTGCTCTTCACGTCTTTTGCTTCTGCATTGCCCACCTCACCCTAGGGCATTCCTTCATTTATTTAACATTTAATGATTGCCAGGCACTGGGCATACAACTGTCTACAAAACATGCAAGACTCTGCCTTCATGGAGCTTGCATTCTAGCAGACTCACTGGCTAATCTCCCCTTTCCCTGCCTCTTACTCTCGTCTCCGTAGTGTGGCTTCTGCCCTTGGGACCATAGTTACTGAGACCCATCCATGGACTGACTCCTAGTAGATGAGGTGATGGTGCTGTAACAAGCGGCAGTGTTTTCATTCTGGCTTGAGCCGCACGTCCGGGAGTCACGCACACTGTCACTTTCAGGCCCGGGATAACAGAGGCCCCTCACGGACACGTGTCTCTGATCACCATGGCAGGGAATAAGACATGGCCAATTGCACACTGGCTATTACAGCTTCCGCCTGGAAGTGGCCCACTTCACTTCCGCCCTGCTCACTGGCCCGACAAGACACACGCCCACCCCTTCAGAGGGGCGGAGAAGCGTGGTGTGCCTGCTGTCCAGAGGAGCAGGAGGAGAAAGATCTGCCCAACACCAGGAAGGACGCACTCTGGCTTCCCCAAGAGAGGGGCAGCAGAGCCTTCAGGGGATGTTACCAGCAAACTGGGGGAAGAGAACGGGTGATCTTGGGCTGGATCCCTTTGAGCATCTTCGCCCCCAGCCCTGGTCACTAACTTTGATCAGCAGATCTGAATACCTGTGGCCAGTGGGGCTGGCTTCTGCAACGCTCAAGCTCCAGCTGAGCAAAACAGTAGGTTGGTTTTAACAATGTCTCAGTCAGCCTGTGCCGCTGTAACAAAAATACCATCAATGGGTGGCTTAAAGAATTTACTTCACATAGTTTTGGAGGCTAGACGTCTGAGATCAGGTGGCCAGCAAGGTCGAGTTCTTGGGGAGAACTACTTACTGCTTTACACACAGCTGGGTGCCTTCTTGCTTTTTGCTCGCAAGGTGGAGAAAGACAGCTCTGGTTTCTTCCTCTGCTTGTGCAAACCCATCACGGGGGCTCCATAATCATGACCTCATCGAAATCTAGTTATCCCTGGGAGGCCCCACCTCCAAACACCATCCCACTGGGCATCAAGGCCTCAAAATAGGAACTTAAAGGGGATGCATTCAGTCCACAGCATAGAGGAGGCTCTGCTACAGGAACTCCAATTCTGTTGTGTTACTTTCCCTTTGAGGCTCAGTCTCCTGATCCTTCAGTTCAGTTCAGCTCAGTCGCTCAGTCGTGTCCAACTCTTTGTGACCCCACGGACTGCAGCACGCCGGGCCTCCCTGTCCACCACCAGCTCCCGGAGCTTGCTCAAACTCATGTCCATCAAGTCAGTAATGCCATCGAACCATCTCATCCTCTGTCGTCCCTTTCTCCTCCTGCCTTTAATCTTTCCCATCATCAGGCCCCTGATCCTTAAAATGGGGATAACAATCTATATTTTTCCCCTATTTAGAAAGTTCCAATTAATTAATCGATGTGAGCATGCTTTGATTATACATTGTTTCTTAAGAGGCATGGATACTCTTTATCATTCTTCTAAGGCTCAGTGGTGGAATTGAGAGGATAAGCTGGTCAGGGATCGGAACCCCTCACTACTTTTACTTCTGTCCTTTCAATTCTTTGGACCTTGAAGCCTTTCCTGAGATCCCCTTTCTGAGAGCTTCATCACAAGCCTATTGGGAGGTCTGACCTTGACCAACTTTGTTCTTCATCCCATCTTCCCCAACCCAGGCCAGAGCTGTCCACTCACCTTTAATACTCAGCCCTGTTTTGTTCATGCAGCTTTAGCTTGGCCCCTGACACTCTGTTGCTGAATCAGACACACAGTCCAGACTTGAGGACCCCTTACTCCAGGCCAGGTACTGTGCTTGGCACATCAATTCGTTTTGTCATAATGATGCCAGGAGGTAGGCCTCTAATGTACCCATTATACAGATTAGAAACCTGAGGCTCAAAGAGGTGAAGTCACTTGTCCATGTGACCCAGAGATACAAGTCAGAGACAGGCTTCCAACCCAACTCTGTTGGGACTGCAGACCCTGAGCTCTTGACCCTCAGGCTGGGGGACTCCTACTCACTTGCCTCTGGTTGCTTTCATCTCTGTTGCTGACAGCCCCACTCTGCATCAGGAAGGTTTTTCTCTTGCTTCTGTGGATTTAGCTCCAGCAGTGTAGTAAATGCAGAGGCACTGGAATGAGACTGTCAGTTCAAGTCCCAGATGTATCAGTTAGTAGCTCTGTGACTTTGGGCAAGGTTTTTAACCTCTCTTAGGTTCACTCAGTTCAGTTCAGTTCAGTTCAGTCGCCCAGTCGTGTCTGACTCTTTGCAACCCCATGGACCGCAGCACCCGAGGCCTCCCTGTCCATCACCAACTTCAGGAGTTTACTCAAGCTCACATCCATCAAGTCGGTGATGCCATCCAACCATCTCATCCTCTGTCACCCCCTTCTCCTCCAGCTTTTAATCTTTCTCAGCATCAGGGTCTTTTCAAATGAGTCAGTTCTTTGCATCAGGTGGCCAAAGTATTGGAGTTTCAGCTTCACTCAAATTGTCTGTTAAAAAAAATAATAATAATAGTATAGGGTCAGGAGGAGTCAGTGTGGTAAGCGACATGAATTACTTAGCATCGTGCCTGACCCAGGGACAGCTTGTTACCAGGGTCAGGAATGTCCAGATCGTCTCTCTGTAAATCTGGTTGGCAGGGACCCAGCTTCTTCAACTGGTTCCCCACTCCCTGCTAACTATCAGCTGGCACTTCACCACATGGAGTCCTAGCAAAAAAAGAGACACCGCAGACCTCTTCCAAGGTTCTCCTGCAAGTAAGCTGCCCCTTGAGATCCATTTCGAGGCTGCTGCCTGCATCCTCTATGGTCCATTTACCTCTTGGTTCGAATGACTTCCTGTGGGAGTCACCTCAACGGTGCTGATGCTGCAGGCAGAGAGCCGCGGGGCGGTCCAGCATCTGTGCCTGAAGCGCGGGGAAGGATGTGCCCATTCCCGCTACCATCCCTGCCCCCTACTCCTGGAAGGAACGTCAGATGGGCAGGAGCCAGTGGGACATGGAACCTAGGGGTTTTGCCCCAATCCGAGCCAAGGGATCACAGCCACCGAGTCAGAGCAAGCAGGGTCCCGGGGGCACTGACTGGGCCTTGGCACGTGGACCTGACCAGCAGGCTGCAGGGAGACTCCATGGGCAACCCAGGTTCTGGAACCAGACTGCTTGGGTTCAAATCCTGACTCTTCTATGACTTGCTGTGTGACCTTGACATTTACTTAACCTCTGTGTCTTGGTTTCCTCGGCTGTAAAGTGAAGCTGACCTGCTTCATAGGGTCTTTTTTATTATTATTGTTTTGGCTGTGCTGGCTGCTTGTCACAGCGGTGTGCAGGCTTTCTCTATTTGCAGTGCCGGGGCTTAGTAGCTCTGCCGCACGTGGGATCTGTTTCCCGACGAGAGATCGACTCTGTGTCCCCTGCACTGAAAGGCCAATTCTTAACCACTGTGCCGCCGGGAAAGTCCCCACAGGGTCTTTATGGGGATTAAATGAGATATTCCCCCAGGTAGGGCAGAAACACCCAGGACTGCCCCTGGGCAGGGACTCAGCAGTCAGACATGAAAGTGAAAGTGAAGTCGCTCACTCATGTCTGACTCTTTGCGACCCCATGGACTGTAGCCTACCAGGCTCCTCCATCCATGGGATTTTCCAGGCAAGAGTACTGGAGTGGGTTGCCATTTCCTCCTCCAGGAGATCTTCCTGACCCAGGGATTGAACCTGGGTGTCCTGCATTGTAGGCAGGTGCTTTACCGTCTTAGCCACCAGAGAAGTCAGGCATGCGGCCCCCTTAAAAAAGGAACCTTCAAGTGAGGGACCAATGCCCAGGCTTCAGCTGCCTTAAAAGAGAGAGAACCCTCTTCCTTCTAGAGAGGACCATGGACTGTCAATTTGGGAAAGGGCTACGGGATTCATTCTCCAGGCCCATCTCTTCGTGCTGTTCAATGAAGATGCCAAGACTCAGGTGGAGTTGGGAAGTGACTTCTTATTTCCTTCTGCAAAGTATTGAGGGAGTGATGCAGCTTTATGGTTAAGACATCGATCTCTGAAGCTAGAGTCCCAGTGCCAGCTCCGCTTGTGAGTATATCACCTTGGACAAGGGATGCAACTGCCCTGGGCCTCAGTTTTCTCATCTGCAAAATGGGGATAATAACCATGCCTTACTTCACAGGGTTGTCCGGGGG